GTAGGTGGAAAGGAGCCTGAGAAAAGGAGTCTTGCTCTACCTGGGATTGGCAGGTTACAAAACATATTTTGTTATGCCTGCTTCCCAGTGCTGCTTGGAAAACTGTCCACACGAAACAACATCCTCCACTTCTGCTCTCCCCTAAGTGGACTAACCCATGGTCAAGCCTCAGTTAATGGGTCATTTGATAAATTGTGTCATTCTTGTGGAGCTGCACATTTAATGGGAGGTAAATCTAATTTCTTCTCTCAGCCAAAAGGATTGAAGGAAGAATAACCTTTTGGCTTTAAGTTTAAAGACAATAACCATCACACTATACTGCTTGACTGGTTTGCTTTGACTTTTCTTTTCTTTTTTTTTTTTTTTTTTTTTTTTTTTTTTTGCCTTTTTGTTTGGTTGGTTTTTTAAATAGAGACTCAATATGTACTTTAGGCTGGCTTTTTAATCACTGTGTAAGCCACACTAACCCTCCTGCCTCAGCCTCCCAAGTATTTTTTCCTTTTAGTGGTTCACTGTCAGTTTTTTTTTTTTTTTAATGACCATAAGATGAAGGGAAAAAAAACTTTGATTTGGTTTAGGTTTGTTTGTTTTTTGAGACAGGACATCACTGTGTACTTCAAACTGCGTTTGAACTCACCCTGTAACCCAACCTGGCCTCAAACTCGTGATACTCCTGCCTCAGCCTCCCAGGTATTATAGGTGTATGTCACCTTGCCCAGCTATCAGTTGAATCATCATGATCTTTGGAGAGTCTAGCTTTTACATTAAAAAAATTATACCTTCAGGGCTGAAGGTCAAGCTTAGTAACAGACCAATTGCCTAGTATGAATGAGGCCCTGGGTTCAATGCCTAGATCCACAAAAAGTAAAAATAATAAAACAAAATGATTCCTTTATGCACATGATGAGATTAAATATCAGAATTTATGTCAATTCTAGAGGTTACATATTAGGGTGGGTAGTAATCTTTTTTAACCCAGTACTTGCTAATCTTTGATAATGAAAGGTTGCTTAGTAGCAAAAAAGTTTGCTGATTGTTTCTGGAAGTTAGTAACAACGCAAGTGTACCTGTGTCTTTTACCTATTTTCACATTCCCCCAGCCCCTAGCTATTTTTCTGGGCTTAGAGTAATTCAGTCCATTGTAACTCCCATATGGCCATGAAAATTCCATTGTAACTCCCACATTATAGAATAGTAACATTTGAGGCTAAATGATCTGTACCTTGAATCACATGCTTTGAGATAGCTAAAGATATGAGAAAATAAATTGAAAAACTAAGACGGTTGTGGTGTGCATGCTGGTAATCCCAGCACTGGGCAGGCTAAGGCAGCAAATTTAAGGCCATCCTGAGAGCAGGTCTAAAAAAATGAAAGAAAGAAAAACTAGTGAAGTGAGTTAGACATGGTGGCACATGTGTGTTATCCCTAGTACTCAGGAATCTGAGGCAGCAGGATCTTTACAAGTTTGAGACCAGCCTGTACTACACAAAGTGAGCTCAAGGCCAACCCGAACTGCCCAGTGAGATCCTGACTCAAAAAAGGAAAAAAAAAAAAAAAGAAAAAGAAAAAGTAGGAACTTTTCTAGTTGTTGGTGTTTTTAGGGGGAGGAGAACCACAGAGTAGGGAAGGGAGGTGGGTTGGCCGTGCTGGAGATTGAATTTAGGAACTACATCCTCAGCCTTTTTAAAATTTTTTATTTCAAGACAGGGTCTTGCTAAATTGCCCAGGCTAGGCTTGAGCTCAGTCCGTAGGATTACAGATATGTATCACTGCAGTAGGCTAAAAATAACCACTGTTAATAGAAGTGTGTGTCCTTTTAGACTGTTTTTTGCACAGAATTTGGTTTTGCAGAAATAGAGTACAAACACGTGAGGTTTTTTTGTTTTGTTTTGTTTTTGTGTTTTTCGTATTTATCGGTACCAGGGATCGAACTCACGACTGCCTGCTTGCAAAACACGTGAGTTTTTATTTTTGTGTTTTCACAGTACTGTGGATTAAAGTCAGCCTTGCACTGAACTACATTCCCAACAGTGCCTTTTTAGTCTTTGGAGACAAGAGTCTTGCTAAATTGCCTAGGCTGTTCTCAAATTTGTGATCTTCCCACCTCTGCCTCCTGTGTACTGGAAGTGTAAGCATGTATCCCTACACAAGCTTCAACTGTGTTCTATTCTACCAGAGAAAATTAAGACAAAGAAGTTAGAGCCAGAGGATTGGTGCACAACTGTAATTCCAGCATTTGGGAGGCTGAGGCAGGAAAAGTATAGGTTTGAGACCAGCCTGGATTACTTGGCAGTTGAAGACTAGTCTGGACTGCATAGTGAGACTTTGTCTAGTAAAACTTAAGAAAAAAGAAATCTCAAAAAAAAAAAAAAAATCTCACAATAAGGATAAACAAGTTGAATAAATTTAGCCTTATGAAAAATTTGCTACATAATTTTTATCATTTCATCATAAATGAGTGAAAATTTAATCAAAATGGTCAGTGTATGTCTAGATTTTTATACTCACTGACCTAGGATAGGAGTGGTGAACTTATGGCAGTTGTGCTGCCATGGGGGGCTGTTTGCATCACAGAAAGCTCTAAAAGGTTTGATAGCACTGGTCTAGGGAGTTATAGAGCACTTGGTAGAATCAGAGTAACATCATACCCTCTAGTCTACTTTGAGACTTTGAGTTCTCACCTCTCAGTCTTCCAACTTCCTCTTTACCCCTTTTTTTCCCTCTTGTCTTTTTTCTATCATCTCATGACTTATTTTTAGAAATATATTGATAATCAATATGGTTATATACTTTAATATGTATTAAGTTCATCTTTTCTGGATATAAAAAAAAAACTGGCCAGGCACCTCTGTAATCCCAGCACATGGAAGACTGAGGCAGGAGAATTGCAGCAAGTTCAAGGCCAGCCTGAGCAGCATAGTGAACTCAAGGCAAGCCTACACTAGCAAGCAAGACGTCTCAAAAAAGAAAAGAAAAGAAAAAAAATTAGGCCACTAAATCACAGTAATTAGCTATTCTTATATGCATAACATCCATTTTATTTAATCTCTACTCTATGAGGATAGTATTTTATTTAATCTCTATGAGGATAGTATTTTTGTCTATTTTCCAGTGGAGGAAGCTAAGGTTTAAAGAGCTCAATATAAAAAAATAAAATAAAATAAAGAGCTTAATATTTTTTGAGTACCTAGTTTATGTCAGATACTTAAATTCTAGCTGGATGTCCCAGCAATAGTCCCAGCATTTGGAAGGTTGAAGCAGGGGAATCACTACAAGTTTGAGGCCAGCCTAGGCTACAGAGTGAGACCCTGTCTCAATAAAACAACATACTTAAATTCTTGGTTATTGGTTATTATCTTATTTAACCATTACAATGGCCTTATGCAACGGATGATTTTTAAGACTATTACCCCATTTTACAGATGAGGAAGCAAATGCACCCATATATTCAGTAACTTGCCCCAAAGTTTACAGCCAGTAAGTAGGACTGGAAAATAAACCAGAGTAGTAGACTCCAGTGCCTTTGTTACTCTGCATTGCCTCCTGTTTGGTTTTCTCTATGTAGTAAGTAGGATTGTCTAGTTTATAAACCCTAATGTTATACCAGAGTCACTCACTGTAGTTGCTAAGTGTTTCCTATGTGTAAGAGTATGATTTCTTGGATTTACTACATCAGCTTTAGAGAAGATAAAACAATTTGAATAACAAAATATAATTCAGGCAATTCTTGGGTTTCAGTGGTAGGATTTTATATGCTCTATCTAGGCTAATTCTCTGAATTTCATAGTTCCCTACTTTTTCCTCAGTGTCAAGATTACAAAGTTTATTCAGTATGGTGGATTAAAATCTCAAACCGGGCATGATGGCACATGACTGTAATCCTGGCATTTGAGAAGCCAAGGCAGGAGGATAAGGATCACTTTGAGTTTGCAGTTGGCCTAGGCTACATAATGAGTTCAGGGCCACCCTGGATTATATAGTGAGACTTTGTCTCAAAAAAATAAAATAAAATTTGAAAAAAATCAAAGGTTTAGAGTGGGGTATAATGGTGCACACCTGTAATCCCTGCACTTGGAAAGCTGACCAGGAGGGGTTCACTGCAAGTTCAAGGCCAGCCTAGGCTACAAAGTGAGTTAAAGGCCAGCCTAAACTACATAGTGAGACCCTGTCTCAAAAAGACCAAAAAAAAAAAAAAAAAAGAAAGAAAGAAAAACAAAATCAAAGGTTTGGCTGTAATCCCAGTACTTTGGAAACTGAGGCAAGAGGATTGTTTACAAGTTCAGAACCAGCCAGAGCTACATAGTAAATTCAGGTGCAGCCTAAACTCCACAGGGAGACCTTGCCTAAAAAAATTTTAAAAACTTACTAGGCATATATAAAGATATAGAACCAGAAACAACTCTACCCTTAGGAGGGGTGATATCCCACAGTCTTAAATAGAATGGTTTTCATTTTAAGCACTAGGAAAAAAAAAAAGCACAGCATCAAGATACTGAGGAGGTACTAGTTCCCTAGGATGCCTGTGAGTGGATCTGAGTATTCTTTAGGCCAGTTAAATGTGGTTCAACTTGGTGTAAATCAAAAAACCTTGAAGACAGCAGCACAGTGTCTACCTGGCAAATGCAAAGTATCGAATTCAATTCCTGATACTGAAAAAAAAAAAAAAAAAAAGAATATTAAAAACCTTGAGGACCTGGTGGGAAACTAATGGAAAATTGAAAACTGTTTTCAGTTTCTCCATTTCAGCCTCCTTGGCAGTTAGAGACTTCATGGCAGAGCAAGCTCTATTTCAGAAGTTCTTCTTATTTTTCTGTCCCCATTCTTAACACTGAATGTCAACTTACTGAGATCTTCTCAGAGCTGTAGTCTTTTAATAGTGGATGATTATAGGAGTACAGTCCTTATAGGAGCAGGAGAATGAAGAGATTTGTCCCTTCTCTAACAAGTGATTACAACTGAAATGCACCTGTCTAATTTTACCTGTTTTTTTTTTCTTTCAGGACTGTTGAAGTCTGGAAGTCCCCTCCCCTCCCCCTCCCCCCTTTGCCGCTTTGTGGCACCCCCCCCTCCCTCCACCCTTTCCCACTCTCATCATCTGGCCATGACGAGCAGAAGCACGGCCAGGCCCAATGGGCAGCCCCAAGCCAGCAAGATATGCCAATTCAAATTGGTCTTGCTAGGGGAATCTGCGGTGGGAAAGTCTAGCCTGGTATTACGTTTTGTCAAAGGGCAGTTCCATGAGTATCAGGAAAGTACCATTGGAGGTGAGTACCTCGGAAAGAAGAGAGGTTCAACCCTTACTAGAGCTTTGGAAGGGAGATCTAAGACCTAATTGTGGGGGCTGGGGATTTAGCTCAGCGGCATAAGTGCCTTCCTTGCAAGTGCGTGGTTGTGAGTTCGATTCCTGGTACTGGTAAAAAAAAAAAAAAAAAAAAGACCTAATTGTGGAATTGGCCCTCATAGCTCTACTTGTTCCCCCAGGAATGCTTTCTAGAAGAGAAATTGAGTCATGGTATCCCAAGAAAATCACTCATTTTTCTTGTGTCTTTCTCTTCCCGCTCTTACTATAATCACTTCAGTTGGATTTCATCTTGAGCAGATAAAAGTTGGTTTGTGTTATGTCCCATCCTTGGTCATGGAACTCAATTCTGGTTCCAGGAGGTTTATGTAAGGAGAACAGTAAACTGAATGGCTTGGGTGGTGACTAGTCTTAGACTGAGAGTGGAAATATTTTGGACGGCCTGGCATGTTCACATTCACCCTTCTGCTTACAACTTCTTTTCCTTTTTTAATCTGTAGCGGCCTTCCTTACCCAGTCAGTTTGTCTAGATGATACAACAGTCAAGTTTGAGATCTGGGACACAGCTGGGCAAGAACGATACCACAGTTTAGCCCCCATGTACTACAGGGGTGCCCAAGCTGCAATCGTGGTTTATGATATTACTAATCAGGTAAGTTGGTTGAGAAGACTGTCCTTTTCTTTATAGAATTAAATTGGTGGGGAGGAGCCAAAATAGTACATGACTGTCATCTTAGCACTTGGGAGGTGGGATCATTGTGAGTTTGAGGCCAGTCTGTGCTACTAGTAAATTCAAATACAGCCTGAACTGCATAGTGAGACCTTGTCTTCAAAAGCACCAAAATAATAATAATTAATTGGTAGAGGAGGAAACAAGTTCTTGAAATAGGAATATAGACATGCAAATTATACTTCCAAGTTCTAAGGAGACAATGAATTATCAGAGATCCATGGTGTAAGTGAGGGAAGGATGCTCAAAAAGATGTGTTGTGAGACATTCTAATACCAGTCCCAGATCTCTGTCCAGATGCCACCTGTAGGGAATAAGCGTACTCCAGTCTTTCTCCACCCAAGGCGCCATTTGTAAGGACAAGGATGAAAGACAGACAACAAAATCAGTTTAACATGTGGGCAGCCAGGAAGCTCTTGCCTGTAGTAGGCAGAAGACCCCAAATATCTGGCTTATCCTGCTTTTCACTCAAACATGGGTACAAGCAAGTAAAGTAACACAAGATTCATCTGCTTTCCATTATCCATTAGTATGTGTCCAGGTAAACAACAGTCTCAGCTGTATTTACTTTTCTCTAGAACCTGCAGCATGCCATCATCCCTTTTTCCTTTATTCTCATAGAGGAAGCCAATTAGTCCTCAATTCTCTTTAGCCTCCCACAAGCCTGGCTTTTGAAGGTGATCACTGTGCACTGGCAGTCATTCTAGCTTACACCTTGTCTTTCTTGTGTTTTCCTAGGAAACCTTTGCTCGTGCAAAGACATGGGTGAAGGAACTACAGCGGCAAGCCAGTCCCAGCATTGTCATTGCCCTGGCAGGGAACAAAGCTGACCTAGCCAACAAGCGCATGGTGGAATATGAAGTAAGATGATCCCCCACAGTCCCCCGTAACACACTTCCTCTGTACACCTCTTTCCAAACCAGCCCTCTCTGAAGACCTTATTTTAGGGCATTCATTGTCTGGTTCTTCAGTCCTAACCAAGTTAAATATGGCAACACTGTGACCCAAGGGCAGCCAAGAGATTTTAAAGGAGTCTAAAGAGCTGGGTGTGGTGGTACATGCCTGTAATCCCAGTTCTCAGGAGGCTGAGACAGAAGGATCCTTGTAAGTTTGAGACCAGCCTAGGCTACAAAGTGATCTCAAGGCCAGCCTCAACTGCATAGTGAGTCCCTGTCTCAAAAAGACTAAATAGGGGCTGGGGATTTAGCTCAGCCGTGAAGTGCCGGCGTGGCAGGTACAAGATCGTGAGTTTGATTCCTGGTACCCCCTGCCCCGCCAAAAGAGTCAAAAGAAAGTCTCATAATAGAAGGGTAGAACAACTAGCTGTTGGGGTAGCAGTGTGAAAATAGGAAGGAGGACCAATTAAATTTGAGGGGAGGAACCAGGCACACTGGCACACACGTGTAGTTTCAGACTGAGAAGCTGAGGCAGACAGATTGCAAGTTCAAAGGCAGCCTGGAAAATTTAGGAAGACCCTGTCTCAAAAAATAAAATAGACTGAGAATGAAGCTTAGTGGTATAATGCTCCTGGGTTAGATAGATCCCTACTACTGTTTAAAAACAGAAATTGAGTTAAGGGGCTATTCAAATGTCAGAACCCAAAAACATAATTAAGATTCCTGGGCTAAACGGATGTTTGTTGAACTAAGTGGACATGGCTTTATCTTAAGGGATAAATTATGGGTATAAGGGTCACTTGGTTCAAAGAGGACTTCATTAAGGGGAAGGAACCCAGGAAATTGGCCAGCTCTGGTGATACACAGGAATGAAAAACAACACTGTCTTCTGAGCACTGATACAGCCCACTTGCAGGAGGCCCAAGCATATGCAGATGACAACAGCTTATTGTTTATGGAGACTTCAGCCAAGACAGCTATGAACGTGAATGATCTCTTCCTGGCAATAGGTAAGACCAAAGCAGCCTGAAGTCTTCTTGACTTTCCCTTGTCAATAGGTAAAATAAATTATCACTAATTCAAATCAAGAATAGGAAGGAATGTCTCCTTTTGTAAAAACTTTAGGTATGGGGCCTGAGGTAGCCCCATGGTAGTAGAGTGCTTGCCTAGTAGTCCTGGGCCATTAATCTCCAACAACACAGAGAACAAAGCCAGAGCTGGGCATGGTGGAGCACACCTGTTATCCCAGCACTTGGAAGGCTGAGGCAGGAGGATCTCCCTGAGTCTGGGGGCAGCTTGGGCTCCATAGTGAGTTGTGGAAATACCTTTCTGTGGTAACCTCCATCCTTTGGCTGCAGCTTAGGCCCTTTGTGTTTAATGTAGTTTGTCAGCAGTGAACAACCCCCTCTTCAGAACATATCTTTTATTCTCTTACATTTTCCACGGCTTTCCCTATTCCAGTAGCCTTTGTGTGTATGTTTGGGGAAGAGAGACTGAATAAACCTGCTGTTTCTTCTCTTTTTATCTTTAGCTAAGAAGTTGCCAAAGAGTGAACCCCAGAATCTGGGGGGTGCAGCAGGCCGAAGCCGAGGTGTGGATCTCCATGAGCAGTCCCAGCAGAACAAGAGCCAGTGTTGTAGCAACTGAGGGGATGGCTAGCAGCAAACAAGTATGGAGCTAGCACGAGAGCTAAGAAATAACCTCTGTCCCCAACCCTCAGCACACAGCCCCTATGGTAACAGCACACTGAGCCCTGGCTCCCAAGGGCTGCCTCCTGACAGCTCCGTCATGGCACTTTTTAACGCTTCAGCAACCAACACCAGGCAGCTGTTGCCACTGGCCTCCTACTCTCTACTTGAGGGCTTGGGGGTCAAATTTCCCCAGGACTTACCTTCACTTTGTATTATAGGTGCAAGACAGTGACCTACTTATCTTTGTTCTTCCTCCCCTGTGTTCTTCCCCATTTTTTCATAAAACATTTTTGTCTCCTTCCCCTCCCCCTTTCTGCTTTTGATCAATTCTTGTTCTTATTCCTCTTTTCCTCCTCTCCCAGGATGGAGAAGGTGGTGAACCCAGAAACTGAGAAGAGAGGTTTCTAGTTCAATACATTGCAGGCCCTGGGGAAGAATAAGGCTCAGAGCAGGAGGAAGGGAAGTTCCTTTTTGTTTTTATTTGATTGGAGTCTCTCATATTTGAAAACACTGCAGTGTCCAGGAGTTGACCTTGGTGGAGGGTTTTCCTATGGAGAGGTGAGAATAGGGAGGCAAGCTCTCAGGAACCATGTGGGAGTCATGTTGTAGCTAACTGAAAAGAGGCAGAGGTGCAGGCTCATCTGTGGCTCTGGAACTCTTCTGAGGCCCAGTTTTCCTCACCCATCCTCTTAGGTAGCTTCTCCCCAAGAGTGGGGATTGGAGCCTAGAGTCCTCCAAAGAATCTTCACTGGTTGCCTGCACCTTTAGCTTTGCTGTGATCTAATTGGAGGAGGGGCTGGTTTCTGATCCCCATCCTCTGATTATACATATGCATTCCCCTCACCCCTGGCCTTTTAGGTGGCCTCAGCCCCATCCTCCATATCCCTCTGCAGTTTGCACTTTAATTGATGGTAGTTCAGTTGGAATACTTATTTTATGGGGGATCTGATTGATTTATCTGCCCTCTCATCTTTTTAATTAAATAGAATCTGAGGTATAAGGTCGGGGTGGGGGGGCTACAGAAAACAGTTCCAGTGGCAGCTACTCAAGCACAGTCTCCACTGCTAGCTTCTTTCTCCAAGTCTAATTCTTAACCTTTATTCTTGCCAAACTCACTCGTGTATATATAGGTTTGCCTTTCTGGAGAATTAACTGAACAACTGGGGAGTAGCTTAGGATAGCATAGGCCAAGGTAGGGGAGTAAAACAAGGTCAGGCAGAGGGGAGGAATTTCCTCTCTCCAGGGTTCACATTCAATTTGCTATCCATTACCATATCTTTTCTACTTCCCTGTAAATAGGTATGATCTTGATTCTCACTGTATCGTCTGTCCTACCCCCTGCCTCCCATCAGGCCCTATTTCTTTCCTCCTTTGTTAGTATCTTGACTATAGTTCTGTCCTTATCCCCATACCTACCCTGCCATACAACCAGTGTACCACTAGGGGGTAGTACCACAGAAGCCTGATGGCTCCCTTGCCTCATATCACCCATTTCTGTGACAGAAAGCGACTAGCACTGAGGGTACCTCACAACTGTCTGATGTCATCAGAGGACCTTGGTCCTTTTTCAAATCTCTAACCTCTCTTCACATCTCTCATCAGGTCTTTTAGGATGTCTGTGGGAAACCATCAAGGGAAGAGAGAACTCTTTTTAAGTTCCTTCTTGTTCCAGCCGAGAGATTTGGGGAATTTGGCAGAAGACAGACAGGAAAAGCCACAGTAATATAGGATTGGAACTTTTCTGCCCTTTGGCTTACAGATTGCCTTGGGTCCCAGAGCAGCTGAGAAATCCGTAGAGGCTGGGCTTGTGAGGGACCCAGCTTAGGTTCTTCCACTTAGGCCACAGTTCCCTTCCTTTTCCAAGGGCAGCCTTAGTTCCCATGGCCCTGAAACAACACATACTTTCCCTTTTCCTAGAACTCATTAACCCTCTCCCAAAGCACCGAATGTATCCTTCTTATAAGTGGAAGAACTAAGGTGGCTCTCTTAAGTCTCTTAGAAATGAAATTCTTTCTGTGTGCAACCTTCTACAAGCAGAGCAAGAATGATGTTTCCGGCCTTGGGGCTCAGAAACCATTTCCCCAGGCTGCTTCCTTCCCTTGCCGCCTTAGTGACAGTATTGGCCTTAGCTTCCAGGCCTATCTTGCTGCCTTCCCTCTACTTCTGACAGCTTTTTTGCCCTACTTTGAGCCCTACTGGACTTGAGGATTTTAGTTTTAAATTTCCTAGCTCATCTTTTTTCTCCTGACCAGTTTTTTTTGTTTTGTTTTAGGGGAGGAGGGGTATCTTTTTTTCTTTTTTCTTCTTCTAAGAAAGCATTTGCCTTTCTTTTCCCTTCTTCCCCTACATAACAATCGTGGTAACAGAATGCGACTGCTGATTTACCGATGTATTTAATGTAAGTAAAAAGGAAAAAAAAGAAAAGTGCATTGGAGTGTTGCTTTGTTTTTTGCTATTTGTCTCATACTAGAAATCAAAAATATATATTCCCCTATATCTTGATACCTCCTTATTCCCTTTAATACATTCCCACTGGCTTGACCCAGTAGTGGTATATTCATGACTGTCCCATCAGGTGGCTTGGTTGTTTTTTTTTTGTTTTGTTTTGTTTTTTTTACTGGGAATCAAACTCACAACTTTGTGTTTGCCAGGCAGGCACTTATGCCACTGAGCTAAGTCCCCAGCTATCAGGTGGCTTGTATCATCTTTTTACTAATGTCAGCAGCAAGACATACAAATTATGGCCCTGTTGTGGATGTGTTCGTGTTTTCTTGAATAGTAGAATTCAGTTTGAAAAATAACTTATTTCTGTTGAGTCACCAGTTTCTCAACTCTAAACCTAATTTCAGTTTCTCAACTCTAACCCTAATTTTATGTTTTTAGGCCCTCAATAAAATGTACATAGATGTAGAGGTATGGTCTGAATCTCTCAATTGACTGATAAGACTACAAGGAAAAAAAGACATTTACGAATCCTGTGGAGGATTGTGTAAAAGTTTATGCTGTGTGTGTGTGTGTGTGTGTGTGTGTGTGTGTGTTGAGAATTGAACCTAGGACCTTATGCATGCAAGGCAAGAACTCTACCTTTACCACTGAAACACATCTCCAGCCCCTTTGTGTACTTTTTTTTTTTTTTTTAAGAGTTTCAGGATAGGGGCTGGGGATTTAGCTCAGCGGCATAAGTGCGTCCTGTTATAGTAGTTTCTCAAAGGGGTGCATGACCCCAAGGTTAAAAAAATAAACAGGTACCAACACAATGCCACATGCCTGTAATTCCAGTATTTGGGAGATTGAGGCAAGAGAATCACTGAGTTTGAGGGCAGCCTGGGATACATAAGCAAGTCTGAGGCCTGCCAGAACTATAGTGAGACCTTGTCAAGAAAGAGAGAGAAAGGGAAGACAAGCAAAGTCACCGAACCAGCTTTATTGATTCATCGTGTGACTTCAACCTCAACAGAATTTTTTCCTCCCTAGATTTACTTTCCTAGAAGCCCTTCAGTTCATCACACTCTGAAAGGCAAGAGATAAAGGTGAATGAAACAAAAATAGATATGGTTATAGGAAGAGTTGCTTTTGTGTTTGTTGTTTTTTGTTTTGTTTTTGGTACTGAGAATGGAACTCACGACCTTGTGCTTGCCAAGCAGGTATTGTGCAGGAAGAGTTTTAAATTCCAAAGAATAAAAAAATTAAAAAACAAAAACAAAGAATCAAGCAGACAGGGTGTCACATACCTATAATCCCAATACCAAAGACTGAGGCAGGAGGATCCTTGTGAGTTCCAGGCTAGTCTGGGTGACAGTGGAAACCCTGTCTCAAAAATGTTCAAGGTTCAAGGCCAGTTTGTACAATGGAGAATATATAAGAAAAAAAGCCAAGCATTTTAAAGAAATAAGTTTTTTGTTTTAGTTTGGTTTTTTTGGTACCAGGGATTGAACTCACAACCTTGTGCTTGCCAGGCAGGCGCTTATGCTGCTGAGCTAAATCCCCAGCCCAAGCCAAGCATTTTAAAAACATGCTAGGCAGGGTCTGGGGATTTAGCTCAGCGGCATAAGCACCTGCCTTGCAAGCAGACAGTCATGAGTTCAATCCCTGGTACCGATAAAAACGAAAAAGAAGAAAAAAAAAAAAAAAAAAACATGCTAGGCAGATTTTGCATTCCAATCTCCATTTCTACCTTAGGTATGACCTGGATCAAGTTACTTTGTGCTCTGTGCCTCAGTTTCTTCCTCTGTAAAATGAAGTTTAAACGTAAAAATGTAAAGCACGCATAAGGAGACTCCCTGTGGCTTGTAGACAGACCCTAATTCTCTGTATTTTCCTTGAGTTGAAACTTTTTTTTCAATTGACAGAATCAGTTGGGCTTTCAGGTCTCTAGTGATTAATTATGCAGAGTTTAGAAATATTTCCAAAAAGTATAGAGCCAAAATTACATTTTCGATGTCAGTTCCACTTTTTTCTTGTTTTTTACTACATCTCCTACCTCGCCTTTGAGGCCTGGATTCCTAATGAAAGCGCTTCCCAGAGAAAAAAGATACTATGCTACGTGATACACCCTGGTTTTAACTGATTAAGATTGTAGCTCAGCTATCTAGCCTCTAGGGGGCAGTGTATAGATGTTTACCTAAATTGCATGACTAGGTTTCACAGATTTCACCTCGCAAATGAATGATAAAGGAGTAATATAAATTTGTTAGTGCCCTTAAATTTGCAGTAAGACTATAGTCATAACTTGGGGTGTTTAAGCTGATAACTGCTCTTGTTAAAGGGAAGTAATTTAAATTGACTACGCGAAATTCAAAAGATGGTTATTTAGTATTGCTGGTTCCATACTTGAGTGACAAATTCAGTTAGCCCATGACATGTTCAAGTCTTGGGACCAATATTTTAGGCTTCATTTCTGGATATAAGAGAAGCGAGGGACTTTGCTTTCCCTAAAACAAATCAGGGTTGTAGTTACAAGCCGGACACTTGTAAGAAAAACAAAAGCATAGTAGGGCGAGGTGGCACAAGCCTGTAATCCCTGTGCTCAGGAGGCTGAGGCAAGAGGACTGCCGCGAATTCGAGGCCAGCCTGGGCGACATTGTGAGTTCAACGCCAGTCTAAATCACATAATGAGACACCATCTCAAACGGTAGATGCAGAACTTGGCGCCAGGAGATGTCACTGGGTCCCGAGGACGCCAAGAGGTGGGCAGTGACTTTCTCTGCCCAGGCCCCTAGCTGGTGGGCGGGACGGGGCTGCACCCTAGACTTGGAACGCAAGTCACCTCCGCCACCCGGCTCTGGATAACGCCGATAGTCCTATTTCTTGCCCAGCGGACTATGATTGGTTCTAGTCAACAGCTGCACAGCGAAAGAAGCGACAAGGCCGCCAGCCTCACCCCCAATCCCTCTCAGCAACCTACCCCTCTCGGCCGACCTCCAGCCGGAGCCAGGCAGTGGAAAACCGCGGGCCAATTAGCCTGGGGGACCCCTCAGGGGCCGGGGCCGCTTTTATAAAGCCTGGCGCGAGCGAGCGTCACAGCGCCGCCCCGCCCCTCGCCAGTGCTCTTCTGGCGCCTAGCGGGTAAAACCGGCGAGGCGGGGACACGGAGCCGGGTAAGGGGGGTTGCGGCGGGGAGCTCTGGGAGGCCGGGGAGACTGGGGAGGGTTTTGGCATACTAGGACTCATACTAGAACCTTTTGTGTAACAAAAGTAGTACTGCCTCCACTCCGGATGCCAGAGCGCTCTGGAGATTGCAGAGTATTGCTAGGCAGTGGCGTAGGGCCCGCTGCTCCGTCGGGACGCTGGACTTACCTTCCCACCGAATGTGCCCCTGGGAAGTGTGTGGCCACCACCCCCACCAACAAGTAGTATTTCTATATTTGCAGCAGAAGACCACCTCTCCCAGGCCTGGGACTCCATTCAGGTCCAAGTAGGCTGCTGGAATTGAAGGTAAGTGGCAGGAAAAGCGAAGGTTGCACAGCCCAGTGGTAGTAAAGGGTACACTCCCCATCCGTGACCACCTTCACTCTTTGTTCCCCAGCATCTCATCAGCAGTTAGGACACATCTCACCCCTCTCCATCTTAACCCTCTTGGATTGGTACTCAACTCTGAGGCACAGGGCTATGAGTGAAAAACTGCTACAGGATAGAAAGTGCAAAAATTAACTTCCTTTTCCAGCCCATCTCTTGACACTTTGGCCATTGACTCTCGCAATTTGCTGAGCTCACCCTAATAGCATACAGAAGGTTGGGGTGGGGTACAATTGGGGAATTAGGGTACAATTCCCAGTTGGAATCATTTGTTGGGGGAAGTAGAAGAAGATAAGGGGAAACTCCTTCAATGACAACATTATTACTTGTTTACTCTTCATATTAGTTCTGCTGAATAGGGAACTGGTTAATGGCAAGGCTGAGTTTCACAAACCAAACCCAGCAAATTTGAGGCCAGCTTGGGCCACATAGTGCATGGAATCTGAGTTTCACCTCATCTGACACTGCCTTTCTTGCCTTTTTGTCCATTTACATCAGTCTGAACCTTGGTTGTCCTCCCTGACTTCAGAAATAATTACCAAGCAAACTGGGGGAGGACAGGGGTACTGTTTGCCTAGCATTCACAAGGCCTTGGGTTCAGTCCGAACACTAGAAGATAAGTAAATAAACTGGCAAACTGGACAGTAGACATTTGGCTTCTGCCCTTTAGGCCCTTGGCCTTGTTATTATTCTCTGTAGTGGACAAAATAGAGCACAGGATGGGAGATAGGTATTCCAGAGGCACCAGGCACTCCTCCCTTTCCACCCTGCCAGCAGTCTTTGTCTCCAAACTGCTCCAAGTTTCATCTGAGAATCCACTTGCACCCTCACCTTTGCCCAGACAGCTCCTTCCTCCTGCACATTCCTTCAGTCTTTCCTAAGCACTCCTCACAGGAGTCTTGTCTTGACCATGGACTTTCTCCACAGGTCAGCCACAATGTTGCTGCTGCTGCACAGACCTGTGGTCCTTGGTCTTCGACAGGCCTTCAGGTAAGTCATCCCCAGAAAGGACTCTAATCTTAGTCATATCTCTGATATAACTATCTTATCTCCAGATAGTTACCTTATCTTCCAGATAAGATAGTTGAGAGGTGGCCACAGAGGAAAAGAAAAACTATATGCCCCATCCATCCCTGGGAAAACAAAATTCCTTTTTTGTCTTTATTTTATTTTTGTCTTTTTAAGTCAGGGTTTCACTATGCAGTTCAGGCTGGCTTTGAACTCACTTTTTAGTCCTGACTGGACTTAAACTCTCAGTGATCCTTCTGCTTTAGCCTCCCAAGTGCCAAAATTCTAACTGAAGGAACCAGTGACCAACCAGGGAGAGAGGCAAATCCCAGGCTGACACTGGCACTTTCACATGACCTTGTTGCTACTAAGATCCCTTTCTTCCAGACTCAGGTCAAGTCCATCAAGGCTCTGCGTTCAGACCTGCTCTACAAATAATTCATTTCAGCCCCAGCACCCCAGTCCCAACTTCTCTGGTGATAACTACAGCAGAAGGGGATGGAAAGTCATGGGAACCCTGCTAGGTCTTGGCTCAGTGTTGGCCTATCATGACCATCGGTGTAGGGTAAGTAGGGAAGGGGCTTCCCTTGTTAGAACAAAGGAGTTCTAGTGAGTTCCTCAGGGAACTCTGTGATACAGGGACCCCTGTGACACAGGTTCTTGCTGTTACCACAAAGCCCATGGCTAGCACAGTGAAAATTCTATCTACCACCCTAATTTACTAGTAGTAAGATGGTGCACTGAGTCAGCATGAGTTAGTCTTTTCTTTTCTTTTGATACTGGGGATTGAACTCACACTTTTGCGCTTACCAGCCAGGCACTTATGCCACTGAGCTAAATCCCCAGCCTGCTAGAGTTATTTCTTTTTTTTTTTTTTAGAGTTATTTCTTAATATTCTTTTCTCTTTCACCTTACGTTTGTTCTGCCTGTAGGCTTCTCAGGAATCACCACGCATGTACACTAAGGAGGAAGTGAGCTCCCACAGCAGCCCTGAGACTGGGATCTGGGTAACTCTGGGTTGTGAGGTCTTTGATGTCACAGAATTTGTGAATATACATCCAGGAGGTCCATCAAAGCTAATGCTAGCAGCTGGGGGTCCCCTGGAGCCTTTCTGGGCCCTCTATGCTGTTCACAACCAACCGCATGTGTGTGAGTTACTGGCTGAGTACAAGATTGGGGAGCTGAACCCTGAAGACAATGTGTCCCCAACCTTGGACATCTCTGACCCTTATGCTAATGATCCTAAGCGGCACCCAGCCTTGAGGGTCAACAGCCAGCGCCCCTTTAATGCAGAGCCTCCCCCTGAGCTGCTGACAGAAAACTATGTGACACCCAACCCTATCTTCTTCACCCGGAACCATCTGCCTGTACCTGACCTAGACCCTGATACCTATCGCTTACATGTAGTAGGGGCACCTGGACATCAGTCACTGTGCCTATCCCTGGATGACTTGTACAAGTTTTCCAAACATGAGATCACAGTCACTCTACAGTGTGCTGGCAACCGGCGTTCTGAAATGACTCAGATCAAGGAAGTTAAAGGTCTGGAGTGGAGGATAGGGGCCATCAGCACTGCATGCTGGGCTGGGGCACGGCTCTGTGATGTGTTAGCCCAGGCTGGTCACCAGCTGTCTGACACTGAGGCCCATGTGTGTTTTGAGGGACTAGACTGTGACCCCACTGGGACTGCCTATGGAGCATCTATCCCTCTTGCTCGGGCCTTGAATCCTGAAGCTGAGGTCCTGCTGGCCTATGAGATGAATGGGCAGCCTCTGCCTCGTGACCATGGCTTTCCTGTGCGGGTGGTAGTTCCTGGTGTAGTAGGTGCTCGCCATGTCAAATGGCTGGGCAGAATCAGTGTAGAGGCAGAGGAAAGTCACAGCCACTGGCAACGGCGGGATTACAAAGGGTTCTCTCCATCAGTGGACTGGGACACTGTAGACTTTGACTCAGCTCCATCTATTCAAGAACTCCCTGTCCAGTCAGCCATCACGGAGCCTCAGGATGGGGAGACTATAGAGTCAGGGGAAGTGACTGTCAAGGGCTATGCATGGAGTGGTGGTGGCAGGGCTGTGATCCGGGTTGATGTGTCTCTGGATGGTGGACTGACCTGGCAAGTAGCTGAGTTGGATGGAGAGGAACAGAGCCCCAGAAAGGCCTGGGCCTGGCGCCTATGGCAGCTGCAAGCCCCTGTGCCATCTGGGAAAAAGGAATTGAACATTATTTGTAAGGCTGTTGATGACAGCTACAATGTGCAGCCAGACACTGTGGCCCCAATCTGGAACCTGAGAGGTGTGCTCAGCAATGCCTGGCACCGTGTCCATGTTCATGTTGCCCCATGAGAGCATAGAATGAAGCCATCTATAGCCGAGAACCACCTGACGCCTTTCTTCACCCATCCTGTGGCCTCAGTATGTCACAAAAAAAACTTTCCCTGCTTTCCACTTCTTGGATCACAACCCCACACTGTGCCTTTACAAGCCATACTCAGGTACCTAGATTGCATATTTCTACCCAGGCACCCTTCCTTCTTAGACACTAATTATATACCCCTTTTGGCCCCTGATCCTGTGCCAGGAGATGAGAACTGTTGGAGCAAAAGGCTAGAGGTGAGAAGAGTAATTGTGGAGACAAGCACTGTCTGTTTTAAATTTCAGAGACTGTGTGTAGTATTGTAACAAAACTACTACTATTCACTGCCTCTGTTGCCAGGAGGTTGTCTGGGACAGTGAAGACACAACCCTCTCTGTGTATAGCTCTACTTTTTGTAAATGCATCAATAAAATTGATTCTGACCTCTTGGGCCTGAGGAGTTTGCATTGATACTAGGTCCTCAGAGATTAGCCAAAGTCAATAAATGGGTGGTGGGGGTAGTGAGGGGAGCAGTGACTTGGAAGTCAAGTAGTAGAACTTCCTTCTCTGAGGTCTGTCAGCACCCACAGTGCCATTTAGGTAGGACTTTGTGAATTTTTTTTGAAGGGGGAGGTACGGGGATGGGACTCATGACGCTTTTGCCAGGCAGGCACTGTGCCATATCCCCTACCTTGTCCCCAGAGATTTAAAAAAAAAAATGGTACCCTTAAAACCAAGGTCCCTGGTAATTGCGAGATCATGAGTTCAGTCCCTGTACAAAAAAAAAAGTTCGTAAGCATTTGGCAGGAAAGGCCAAGAATGCTAAGAGGTTAAAATCAACATTGTTTTAGGAAGAGCAAAAGCAACACTTGGCACTAAGGACAGACGTGCTAGAACACGTGCAGTGTGTTCCTAGTTTGCAAATTAGATGCCTATGAAGAGGTAGTGAGTTAAGGTTTGACGAGCTACAGCGCCTTTTAGACTTGAATCTTTCGGCGCTCGGCTACTCTCCCCTAGTTCCTCTTTCCCCCAGCAGTCTCTCCGGTTTAGAGGGCGCTCGGTGTTTGGCCCTGCTGCCTGTCTCCTGGTAGTAGGACCGGAAGTTGGGGGGGGGGACAGCTTGGTAGGGGGATTTTAAGGGGGGGTTGCTCCCTCCTCAGGTGAAGCCGCTGATGGAGATGGAGCCACCGCCGCCACTGAGCGCCCGAGTCCCGGCTCCGGCCTGGCTACCGCCACCTCAGTGACCTCACTCCCCCCGCACTGGGCCAACCGGGCCAGAGTGGGGGACCCCTGCCACCCCTTGCCCTCTCTTCCCCAACACCTCCGCTCTCCCCCAACCCCGAAACCCTGCGCGCGCTAAGATGCCGCAGGTGAGTGTGGGGAGGGGCTTAGGTGAATATGGGGCGGGGCCTCAGTCATCAGGGGCGGGGCCTGAAGAGCTTGGGCGTGAGGCTAGCTGACTCGTGGGAGTTGGGGTGCTTAGGCACTGGGGACTAGAGTTTGCTGGGTGAAATTTGGTCCGAGGACCCGGTATTAGGGAGGAGGTATCAGGGCCTGAGGGGCTTCAAAAGCGGGAAGGTGGTGGCTCCAGGCAGAGGAGCGACGCGGGAAGTTCCTCCGTGGGGTACAGGTGCGGCTAGGGTAGAGAGAGAGCGAAGACGGGAAGCTGAGGTGTGTCGAGAAGGCTGGTTAAAAAGACGGGTCCTCGGAGGGAAGACCTGGGAAGCCAGAGCAAAGTGGTAGAGAAGAAACTTAGGGTGCCCTGAGTAAGAAGTGCTGTCGACAGAACAGTAAAGTGTAGGGAATTTGGGGGAAAACACTGGAAAAGACGAGATGCGTTGTCTAATAGCTCTAAAAAAGAAATACAAAAAAAAAAAAAAAAAAAAAAAGAAATACAGCCTGGGGTGGTGTGTCATGCCTGTAACCCCAGCACTTGGGAGGCAGAGGCAGGAGGATCACAGAGTTCAAGGCCAACCTGGACTACACAGTAAGACACTATCTCAAAAACAAACATAACTGAGGAAGCTCAGATGTAGATATTACAGTGGGAGCTATTATACAAATTTGGGGACCAGGTTGCCTGCTTCCCAAATAGTAAAACAACCCTCCCCACGTACCTCCTCAGACAGATCCATCCCTGGTTGGTTGATTGGTTCCTCTCTAGCTTCCTGTACTGGAGATTGAATCTAGGGCCTTAGCACTGAGCTATATCTCTACCCCTTTTTAATTTTTTTATTTTGAGGCAATGACTTGCTAAATTGCCCAGGCTAGGCTTGAATTTGTGATCCTCCTGCCTCACCCTCTGAGTGCTTAGATTACAGGCCTAAACTACCATACCAGACTTCAGTTATTTCAGTTTTTGTTTTGTTTTGTTTTGAAGATGAAATCTCGCTTCGTAGTTCAGGCCAGCCTCCAATTAGTGGCAATCCTGCCTCAACCTTCTGAGTCCTGGGATTACAAGTGTGTACCACAATACCTCGGCTTATTTATTTTCTTATTGCTTGTGTACTAGAGTTGTAGATTGTTTCTTTTCATTTATTTTTTGTTTTTTGTGATAGTCTATGTAGTTTAGTCTGACCTTGTACTTACTGTGTAGTCCAGGTTGCCCTCAAACTCCTGGTGGTCCTCCTGCCTCAGCCTCCCACATGCTAGGATTATAGTCATGGGCCACCAAACATGGCCTTCATTCTCAGTTTTTCAATTTTCTTTCAATTTCACTATGTTGTTTTGTTTCATTAAATCATAATTAGGCCTGTCTTGGGGATAACAATGTTTAATGAAATGTGGACCTTTAGATATGAGAGATGTTTCAGAAATAGGATACCCTTCCAAGATAAACAATTTATCAGTCTAGCTGGCTTTGGTGGTCCACATCTATGATCCCAATATGGAAGAAAAAGGAAGGGCCAAGGGAGGAGGATCACTTTGAGTCTGAGGCCAGGCTGAGCTACAAGAGTAAGCTGAAGGCCAGTTTGAGATCTCATCTCAAAAAAAAAAAAAAATTAATATTAACTAGCCAGGAGTTGTAGCACATACCTCTAACCCCATCACTTGGGAGGCTGAGGCAGGAGGATAATTACAAGTTCAAGCCACCTGGGCTGCACAGTGAGTAGGCCAGCCTGAACTACATAGTGAGACCCTGTCTTAAAAAAACAAAATTGGACTAGTGATTTCCTACTGTTTATTCTTTCTGAAATTCTGTATGACTTGTACCCTTTTTCTGTTTTTTTTTTTTTTTCTTTTTCTCCTTAAATAAAATTTAAAAAAAAACTTTAAAAAAAAAAATTGGAGCTGGGGATTTAGCTCAGCGGCATAAGCGCCTGCCTTACAAGCAGGCAGTCGTGAGTTCGATCCCCAGTACCGCTAAAAAGGAAAAAGACAAAAAAAAAATTTAACCAACTCTATTTCCACAAAGATTTGACATAAGGGGGCTGGGGATTTAGCTCAGCAGCATAAGCACCTGCCTTGCAAGCAAGCAGTCATGAGTTCGATCCCCGGTACCGATAAAAATGAAAAACACCAAAAAAAAAAAAAAAAAAAAAGATTTGACATACTATCAAGCATTGCTGGTCAAGCTTTGTACTTCTTTCTTGGTTGTTTTTTTGGCTTTTGGTTTTTGGGGTTTTTTTGAGACAAGGTCTTGCTAAATAGTTGAGGCTGGGCTTGAGCTCACTGTGTACCTCCAGCTCAAACTCACAGTGATCATCCTACCTCACACTCCCAAGTTCTGGGATCACAGGTGTGCACTACCATGTCCAGAAGGCTTTGCAGTTTTGCCTCATTCCCCTCTCCCATAGGTGAAATTGTGACTTCTTCCTACTCATGTCTAGTAACTCCTGTTTTCCCTTGTCTTCCCAGCATGAGCACTCAAAGCATCCATAATGAGCGAGGTGTGTTCCTGCCTGCTCACATTACTCTAGGATTTCCATTCCCATGCAGCCAGATGACCTTTGAGGCCTGGCTGTCTCCCTTACATTTGCTAACTTTCCCTGCGTTAAAGGCAAATGTGCATATCCTTAGGAAGCATGAAAAGCAACTGCCTGATTACCTAAGATATTTCTACTTTAGATATCTCAGATCTGATAATAAGGCCAGATAAAAGGCCAAATAAAACCATGGTTGAAGGGGCTGGAGGTTTAGCTCAGTGGCATAAGTGCCTGCCTTGCAAGCAGGCAATTGTGAGTTTGATCCCCGGTTACCGATAAAAAGGAAAAAGACAAAAACAAACAAACAAACAAACAAAAAAAAAACACATGGTTGAAAACACAGTCTTATTTAGTAGGTATGTTTGCAATTCCTTGCTGGTAATCCCTAACCTACTCACCAGGTAAATCTGGCTTGGTGGAATGGGCAGCTTCAGCCTCCTCTGTAACAGGCCATTGCTAGAATCCAGACAAGCCCTTGAGTCAAATGAATAGTCAGATGAGTAGCTCTACAATAAAAATAAAGTCTTAGAAGAAGAAAATAGCCTTACTACAAGGAAGTGACAGAAGTTTCAATGAGCTGTGTGGGCCTCAAGGTGCAGTGGAGCTGCCCTGCTTTTGGCAGCTTCAGGATTATATCTTGCCCTACTCTAGCAGTGGTAACCCTATCACTCCTGTGCCGAAGTGGGAATGCAGAGCCTTCTGTCCACAGGAGAGCCATGTCACCCTAGCAGCAGAGCAGAAGATAACAGTGTTTTTCAAAACTAAAACCTTGATATTCAGGCTTAATTGCAGCATTAGCACTTGTTTTTTGTTTTTTGTTTTTGGTGCCAGAGATTGAACTCATGACCTCACACTTGCCAGGCAGGCACTCAAGCCACTGAGCTAAATCCCCAGCCAAGCATTAGTACTTGTGATAAATAGATACGTTTTGGGTTGCAATTTGGGCACTCATCTCTGAAAGGTTCACCATCACTGCTGTCCTCCATAGAAGTAAAGATCTCAGATACAAGATCTCAGATATAAGATAGAATGTTTTTGTTGTTCACTGAGTGCAGTTCAATTGCAACTTCTGTGCAATACCTCCCTCTTGGTAGCTTAAGGGTCACACATACCTCACTACTGCTCAGAGATTAAGTCCTAGCCAAGTGTGGTATCCACGCCTGTACTGGTAACACTCCTAAGAGGCTGAGCAGCAAGACTGCAAGTTCCACCCAGCTTGCGCAACTTAGCAAGACTGTATCCAAAAACCAAACTTTTGTTTGTTTTTTTGAGACAGGGACTTGCCTTGGAGTTTAGGCTAGCCTTGAACTCACTGTGTAGCCCAGGCTTGCCTCAAAGTCACAGTGGTCCTCCTTCCTTAGCCTTCCAAGTGCTAGAACAACAGGCATGTGCCACTATGCTCAGCTCAAAGTATTTTAAAAGGCCCAGGATTGAATCAGTGCAAAAACCCAGGGCTGATTCAATCCTCCGTACCACAAAAGAAAGAAAAAGTCCTGACTTTGTTCAGTGAATATGCAACTGAAAG